TGTCCCAAACCTCTTCCTTCTGTTAGGCAGTTAGTCATGAGCAGGTAGAGGTAAATGGAAAGTAAAACTTCCCCATTATTACACCCAGGCCCAGCCCCGTTGGGTAACTTAGCGGAAGCACCACCCAGAATCCAACCCTTCTGTGGGCAACTTGATAAAGAAAAAGTCACAACATGATCACAAAGGCCTGCTAGGGACTTTCCAGGTGTAAGAACATGCACAGAAGGAACTCGAGATCTTAGGTGACCTTTGAACATGCTGATGCTCATTAGGTGCTTACAAATATACAATCCACAAATACATATCATTATAACAGACTGGATTATGGGTGATGACATGCACAGTAGGAAAAGATTATATAACCCTGTCCTGCCAATCAAAATGTCATGTGCAAAATTACTAAGATAAAAAACCCCTAAACTTATGTGTAAGGGCCATTCTCTGCTCAGGGAATTGGCCCACTTCTCCCTTGAAGTGTTCTTTCCTTTATGCTCTTTAAAACTTTGCTGTTGCTTTTGACTTGGGTCTCTGATTCTTCATTGACTTGGGGAAAGGACCGAGGCAAACGGGACCCTCATCCCTGGTAATATTTCTAACTCCTCCCTGCTCTAGAGATAGGGTGGCTGGCATTCCTCCTCTTGAGCAGTGACACCAAGGGAAAGATGCAAAGATGGAAAGGTGGAAGCTTTGGGCTAAGTCTGGCAGGGCATAAAACAGGAAGAGGCCGGAACCACAGGGCGGTGGAGGCCTCCTGCGGCCCTGGACTGCTGCCTCCAGACGTCTCGTAGGTGGGAAGACAATAAGCCCTCTCCAGTTTAAGCCACTATTCCTTCTGTTCTCTGTTACTTGCAGTTTTGTGCAACTGCCAACTGATAACCCTCCTCTTACATGTGTTATAAGAATTAAATGAGATGATGTTGGTAAAATACAGTACCATCCTCTTTGCATTGTCAGCTCGCATGGTAGTATTGTTCCTCACCTCTGAATAAGGAAATCAAAGAAACTTCTACGATTTCACCACAGTCACAAATCACTCACTCAGGGAAAGTCTTTAAATATCTACAGGGTTAGCAGATGTATATATCTCCCAAAGGCATTTGTTGCTAATATTCCACTAACATTAAAACACACGTTACAACTAACATTAGAACACACTGGGCTCTAATGCAAAACTACCAAAAAGGGTAAAAAAGTTACTTGTTTTCTAAAATAGGTTGATTTTATTTCAAGGATAAACTTAAGTGGTGCTGGGAAACCCTCACTTGTGCTGCATCCTATTGGAAAATAAGACCTCAAAACCTCTCCCAAACCAGTCAATTCATCATACTTAAGAGAACACAGCAAAATGAATGCTTTTCACTGCAAATGCTCCTGTTGTCCTACGTTGCTTTGCATTGCAAAATTTTAGAGGAAGAAAAAGCTTCCAAAACTTCAGTTCTTCCAAAGGCCTACTTGGTGCAGAAAAGGGTTGGCAGTGAGGTGAGACCCACCCAAACCCCATCAGAGGAGCAGGCCCGGCCCTTGCCCTGCCACCAAGGCAGTGCTCAGAGCCTGCCAGCTGTCACATCGATCCTCCTATTCCACAGCCCTCGAGGACAGTCAGGCCTGGGTGGGTTCCCAGTGTCAGGGGAGGTTGCCAAGAGAAGGAAAAAACAAATGTCCAAATTACCTGCAACAGAGAAAGCTCTCATTCCTGCCTGATTAGGGTATGCAGGGTTTCCAACAACACGACTCCTTTGGTGGAGCATGTTGGAAAGGGGTGGGGACGGTAACAGGAGAACATCAGTATCATCTGCACATTGTGAAGGGGCTTGTGTTCCTTGTCATGAGGAGGACACTCCAACACTAACTCAAAGTTGGCGAGCATATATGGAAAATATCTTCTTAATATTTTCTAGAGTTTTAGTCAAAGTTTCATAAAGAAGAGGACACAATGTTTCAGAGATGGATATGAGGAACATGACTGAGAGACAGACTTTGTGATTTTAACTTTGAAATGGAATGCTGGAAAGGCTGAGCTGACATCTCTGTTCCCTAAGTCATTCTAAATCCCTTCTAACCTAGGCAGAGGATGGATGCATGGATGGACAATCAGTCAGAACAACTCAGAACAACAGGGAATGACATGGGGAAGAACGCATTACATCTGTCACCAGCAGTTCCTAAAAACCACAAGGAGAAAGTAATCCATGACCTACCTTTGAAAAGCCTGATGAGAAACTGACCGATTGGAGATTTACTCTGAAACTCAAAGGCTCAGATGGAGTTCAAGCTTCACTAAAACTAATTCTAAGGGACTGGTTTTGCTCCACTGAATTTTTTCACCAGAAATCATTGGGCCATTGCAGAACTTTTTAAAACTGAATTGCATGTGTGTGATGTTGTTTGTTCTGCAATATCATTAATAAAAGAATGAAATGTTCATGTTCCATCCGCCATCAGCCACAAATTGACTAAGTCAGTCAACTCCCTACCCCCACCAACCCTCGACAGCAGCAGGAAAATTAAATCCAGATCTATGCTGCCCACAAGAGTTTCTTACCTCTGTATATTCCTTGGAAAGCTTTCCAGTTTCGGGCCCTCTTGTTCCCTCTTACTGCAGCAATCTCATGGAATTGTGACCATTGGTGGTTTCTCGGAGGCTTCCAAACTTGCCTTCCCAAGAAGCCTGGCCGCCTGGTCTTATCCTACACTTTCAGTTCAGTTCTCCAAACAGGGCTCTTTCAGGAACAAA